TCCTCTGTACCAACTGACAATGCCAAGCTTTCTGGGCAGAAGCAGCTGTAAAATCTAAGAACTTTTAGTTTTTTTGTCAGAGTAAAAATAACACAAGATATTAGTTTCAAAGCTTTAATTTCATGCGAAGCCCATTAATTATCATAGGCTTCGTTTTGCTACACAGTGTACACTGTAAATTGTGTTTCGCGTGAATTAAAAAATATATTAGTGTTAAAGCTTTTTCATGCGAAGCACCATTTGCATCACAGAAGCACTGCGGAGTACTGTTCTCCACTAGCAATCTGGTCTTGGTTTAAGAAAAGACCTTCAACAAATAGAGAATTGAAAATCTCCATTTTATTTATGCTAGAATAAAACTTAGCCGCTCTCAATTCCAACCCTTCCATCTGCATTCTCCCGCATGGATATTGATCCTGTCTTATCAATGGAAGAAGTCTCCACCTTCCCAGGCATATCCCAGCCGAAGAAACCGTAGCCATTAGTGTGCCAGGCCTAATAGCCATAAACTCTGCAAACTTTTCTCTGGCTACATCAAGAACTCCTTTCAAGTATCAAAGTTGGCTACCCGAGTCATCTAAATGTGTTAGTGTTTATTTGTTTTTGTTTTTGGTTAGCTTATGTAGCACATTCTGATTATTGGTTTTGATGTTTTTTAATTTCTTTAGAATTTTTCAGTTATTATCATATCTTCAATGTTATTACAAGATTTTTTATTTTATGTTCTTGTTTTTCTTTTTTTTCTTTTTTATTGAAAATTATATCAATCTATTTTACTTTTAAAGAGTGCTAAAAATGACATTTAGAACTCACAAATTATAGATATTACCGCAACTCTCCATGTTATTTTTTAAAATATTTTTATTAATTTAAAATTTTATTAAATTTGTGCTGGAGTTGGAAAATACTCTAAAAAAATAAAAATATTTCAAGTCAGACAAGAATAGGGTTGTTGACACGTGAATACTCAATTCTAAGAAAATGACAATAATTTGATGTTCATAAGAAAATGATTGCAAGTTTTTTTTTTTTAAGTTTCGAGCCCAGACTTGGTGGTTTCCACATTCGAGCTTCCCATGACATTGACATATGGACCCATGACATAATCCTTGCAAGCATTTTCTTTATCAAATCATCAACTAAATTTATGTACCTGCTAACCACATTAATAATATAATTAAATCCATATACGAGGGCTTAATTATTTAAAAAAAACATTAAATACAATCCTAATTAAAGATAGTTTGTTGACAAGATTATTACTTTAAATAATAATTAAAAAATCACATAAAAATTAAGAAATACTCTCATTATCGTATATTTTATTTTCCCTGATGATCCCCTTAATAAAATTGATCGTGGCCATGTGCAGAGGAATGTTAAGGGCTGGGATGGGTTCTGCTTCAGGTTAAGTTTTTATTAATATTTTTTATTATTTTTATATAAAAAATTTATAATTTTTCATTGAATTATTAAAAAAATTTGAAAATTTGTATGTAGCCTTGTAATATAATATTTTAGCTTGAGTTAAAATTTCAGAATTTTTAAAGAAATTCAGAAATTTGATGAAAAATCATAATTTAACTAATTTTATGTTATTGTATGTAATTTTCAATCCGATCATTAAATTAAGCTAAAAATTTATAAGAAATCTTAAAACATATTAAATAAAATCTATTTAAAATTTCAGGATGAAAAGAGCTTGGTAGTGCTAATAAAAAAAATTATCAAATAAAAGCAAAACAACTCATTAAGAGTAAAATGATTATTTTCCATTAAAAAATAAAACAAATCACATTTTCCTTCTTTTTATATGTTGCTGACTGGGCAGAAGCTAAATAGAAAAAGAAAGAAAAGAAAAGGCAAGAGAGAAAGAGAGACAAGTAAGGCAATCTAAAGAAAAAAGTGAGAGAATAACTTTATAAACTTACAAAGTCTAACTTATAAAACACTAATATAAAAAATAATCAAGTGAGGGAAGGAGAGATTGAGAGAGGAAAAAATTTTAGTTACTTTGTTGATTGCTATTTTATCCTATTTGAGGAGTTATTACAACATTAATTCAGATTTGATTATAAATGAGTTATATTCTATTAAATATTGAAGAATGTAACTTTAATAGTGAATTTATTTTTATTTTTTATTTTAATTTGATGTACTTTCAAAAAAATTTAATATTTTAAATAATATATTTGAATTAAAACTTTATTGTTAACTTTAAAAATTCATACACATATATTAATAATTAACTTTTTAAAAAAAATTATATATTTATTTAATAGTCCAAAACAAAAAAAAAAATCCTGGCTCCCTTCATCGTGCATAATATGAATTCCGGTTATAATTTCTCAAATTTATGAATAATTATCTCATTTGGTCAGGGTAATTAACTCTGAGATTTCCTTGTCTGTTTTTCAGGAATCATTGACTGGTTGGTGTGATGCAGTTGAAGACACAGAAAGGAACAAACATGAAAAAGCGATAAGGTATCTAATTCCCCACTAGGCAATGCTAGCACAGCACATTTTCCACTTATTTATTTCTACCCCACATCTTTCTGTAAAGATAGATATGCTATAAAGAGTTCTACTCTCCACTATCAAGAGCACAGCCATTCTGAAAGGCGAGAAAAAACTATATGTGATTCAGTTTTACTCTATTTCACAACAACAATGGCTGATGAGGTGACACTGCTGGATTTTTGGGCAAGCCCTTTTGGTATAAGAGTGAGAATAGCATTGGCAGAGAAGGGAGTCAAGTACGAGTACAGTGAGCAGAACTTGAGGGACAAGAGTGCATTGCTTCTTAAGATGAACCCAGTCTACAAGAGGATCCCAACTCTCATCCACAATGGAAGATCAGTTTGTGAGTCCCTTATTATTGTTCAGTATGTTGACGATGTATGGAAGGGAAAGGCCCCTCTTCTGCCTTCTGATCCTTACCAAAGAGCCCAGTCCAGATTCTGGGCAGATTTTATTGACAAGAAGGTACGTATGCATGGGAACTGGACTTTGCAAGGTCTTTAACTTGTTCTAGGTGCTGTTTAGTCCGCTTTACAATATACTGTGCTGTGAATCTTTCAGGTATTCGAGATTACTAAGAAGATATGGACTACGAAAGGAGAAGAACTGGAGGGAGCAAAAAAGGATTTTATCGAGTGCCTCAAGCTGTTGGAAGGAGAGCTTGGAGACAGGCCTTATTTCGGCGGAGAGAACCTCGGGTATGTGGATGTGGCGTTCGTTCCTTTCTACTGCTGGTTTTATGCCTATGAGACCTGTGGAAACTTCAGCATAGAGGCTGAGTGCCCCAAGATCATTGCATGGGCTAAGAGGTGCATGCAAAAAGAGAGTGTATCCAAGTCTCTTGAACAACCAAAAAAGGTGTACGAGTTCGTTTTGGAGCTCAGGAAGAGGTTTGGGGTGGATTAAGAGGAAACACATACGCATGCATCCATGAGCAGACGATCAGTATGATTTCCTCATGCTGGGGTTGTTTTTTCTTTCGAATAATGGGAGCTCTTCGTGGCTGTGCCTTCTCTTCTGTTGTTTCTATTATGATGCTGGAGCTTGGGAGCACTTCGTGGTGACTGGGCCTGGCCGAGTTTGTGGAGTTGTCATCGGCTCTTTTGCCTCTCTTGTCGTGTTGTTCTCACTATTTATTAAAATAATGTGTTGAGATTATTTGACTGGCAGATGATTTGTAAACGCGGCAGTTGAAACTGTGTTTTATTAAAATTTAAAGTAATTTTTTATTTAAATATAATTTTTTTATATTTTTAGATTATTTTAATATATTGATGTCAAAAATAATTTTTTAAAAATAAAAAATATATTATTTTAATATATTTTTAAATATAAAATAATTTAAAAAATAACTATTACCCCACTTCTAAATATAATTTAAATAACAAAGAAATACTTAATTTGTTTTTAATAAATAGTAAAGACATAACAAGTACGCAATGGTAATAATTCTATCCAATTAATTGTTTCCTTTTCAAATGAATTTTTTTTAATTTTTTTAAGTTTTAAATTAATTTTTATGTTTATAAATTATTTTGACATATTAGTATTAAAAATAAATTTTTTTAAAAAATAAAAATATTATTTTAATATATTATTAAATAAAAATATTTTAAAAAATAATATTTATTACACATGTAATAATTTTGACAATGTACGATGAAATGCAATAATTGAGTTACAAATATTAATTATAACTTGATTAAATGTATTATATTTTTAAATATTTTTTAATTTGTGTTATTTTACTAGAAATTTTAGAAGTGCTAAGTTTCAAAAGACTCTAGCATCATTGCTCGGATTTTACTCTTTATAAATTTCAGAATTTAAGAATTACAATTTAATATTTTTAAATACTAGTAATTATTTACTCAAATATTTTAATTTTTTTAAAAAAATAATCTTAATAAGTTCTTTAAATTCATTAAATAATCCCATGGTTCATTGCTTTGTTTTTCATAATGTATAACGGAACAAACTGATTACATAAAAAATCCTCTAGTACAAATTGAATAATTAGAAGATATATGTGAACTTCAAACTAAAGCTAAATCATTTTCACGTATCAAGTCTTAGGTACCATTTTCACATAAGTTTATTACAAATAGAATAATTAGAAAATATATTTATCAAATTCAGTAGAGTTGATGGATTCCTTGGCCAATTAAAATTCAAGTTAATCCAATATATTATTATATTAATATTATTTTTATAAAATAATATTATCTTGAATTTTTTTAAAAGTTAATTCAAGTTTTTATTAATTAGCTAAATAATTTTTAAATTTCTCAAGTTAACTGAATTACATTGTGATAAAAAATAATTTAAAATATAAAGTTATCAAACTTAAATAAGTTAATGGTATGGATTTTTGTTTATGATAAAAAATTAAAGTGGATCCATTTTAATATTCAAATAAAAATATATTATTTTAAAAATTTATTTAAAGATAAATTATTATTATTATTATTATTATTATTTTATTTTATTTGATTTATCTTTAAACTCCTCAAATTAAATTAAATAAATAATATTAAAACAATTTTTACATAATTTATTTTAAAACTAGGACTACTCAGGATATTATATTGATCGTGTCGTCCAAAATAAACGCAGCAAACAGTAAAGCGCTCAGATTCAGCACTTGTCCAGATCAATTACAGTATATTGGAAACTCCGATAGTTAACGAGTTTCAATGGAAAAGTCTGCCAAATGCTCGGCTCTCTTCTACCTCCATGTAATTCCTTTTCTACCTCAGGCAGTTTCTTTTCTAACTCGCATCTCAGGGACGAAAGCTCCTCTTTCTCTTGTGCTGTGGTTTCTTCACTATTACAATCCACCATCTCAATGTGAACTTCTTTGGACTCATCCTGAAGCTTATTCGCGTGTTTTTTTTATTGACAACATCTTATTAAGACGACCCTCTACTGCCTTAGCATCAAACGCATGCGTTTTCTAACTCTACTGCTCAAAACAGGGATGATAGATCTCCTAACAAACACGGTGATCAACATGGTAGAACTTACGAGGGATTCTTGATTTTCTGTTGTTGTCCATCAAAATTATTTGACATTACTGATTTTATACTCCCTCGTAATTCAGATTTGAATCACCCTGAGAAGTTGTGAGTTAAAAAGGATTACTGATTATTAGTTGATTTTTTGCAACGAATATTTTGTCGTGTCTGCTAAAAAACACACGAATGATCTTGTTTCCCTTCCCGAATTCAACATTGAAAGAAGCATTCTCGTTGCATATCTAGTCATCACGAATCTGTTGGCCTGGCAACATGTTAAAGCTAGCAAACGTCAATGCTTGATATCCCTTTGGATTTTGGGATACTGGAAAATCTGTGGTGCAAACTAAACAAAGGCATTTTCTCACAAACAGATATTTATCATCAAGGCATTTTCTCTGCTGAAGTTGATGAGAATTACCAAAGGCAACTGGTAGGCAGGTAACAAACAGCAATCACATAGGGAACTTGTAAGATTAGCACAGTTATCAGTGCCCGTGCCAACAGAAGAACATTCAAATACTCCCTCAGTTGGTAAAGACTAAAAGAACACCATGCCTGTAACCAAGGGGACAATTAGCTAGAATTTTGAAATCATGATCAGCCTTAGAAATGCCTGCAATAATAACAGGGGATTCGATTGCAGATAATATCTGTGGATCTGCCAATGCTTGTGACTCTTCTAAAACGCATGTCAATCTGATATTCATGACAACTATGCTATCTTAATCTCTACTTCTTTTGACTGATCTTGAAGCTGCACTCACCTACTATTGATTGACAACAGCATATTTTTAATGGTGCAATTGACAACTCTTCAACACTGCCTCTTGACATCAAATCCAAACATTTTCAAGAAAACATGAGTTTCCAAATTAGAAGAAGATATTGAGGCAATTGACATGATATTCACATGTCTGTTGCCTCAGATGTTAAAACAGATGGCTTTGAGCCTGTGAATTTTGTGAAATCTCCATCTCTTCCACAGAAATCATCATTTTCCAACAACCCCATTTTCTTTTTGATTAGTCTCTTGCATTAGTAAGAAAACACAAATATTTGCTAGCTGATTTTCATACTTCAATGCAACACCAAACAATGCCCTGAAACCTATGCCAAAACACAGATCAAAAGCTGGTTTTTTCATTATTTCCTATCTACATGTTTGAATTAGGAGGATCAATCAAATTGCCTTTTAGTAGATGCATGTAGCTACAAGAACCGGATGCATATGACAAGATTCCAAATATCAAAACTTACAATAAGAAACTGCCTCGTCCTAGTGAGAAGTTGGAAAGATCACTACGAAAATTAATCCATCAAGTCTATTGCTGAGAAAATTTGAAAGCATAACAATAAGTTAACCAACTCTATCCATGAACATTCTTTCCTTGGGACCTTCATTGGGTATGCAGATTGATCCGTGAGAAAGTCCATTGACACAAAGTTTCAAGATTAATCAATGAGTTCTCTACACATTCAAAACAAGACACATTCAAATCAATGAGTTTTCTGCGTATCAATTACTGGATAACAGAATTTCCAAAACTCCAGACTGATATTTCAACCCTGGACTGGCACCTACTCAGCCATAATGGTATAAGAGGTTCCAGTGAAGCATCAAAGTGATGCTGACAACCTAGTTGTAATGGACAGCAAACAAGCCAACAATTTCCCAATATTGGTGATCAACTACAATCCATATCAAGTAAAGTCAAAAGCTCAACCAATATGCTAAACCAACAACAAATCCATAATTCTCTCACCTTCTTAGTGTTCATGTAATTAGATTGCTTTGATGGAGTAGAACATTACTTCTATTTTCTTTCACTTTCCACCCTTTTCTCAGCAACCAAAAAGAAAAGAAAAGGAAAGGAAAACTACATGGACTCCTCGAGCTGTTTCAACTCCTCTTTCTTCTTCAATTCCTTTTCATACTCTCTCAATCTCTCCTTCATCTTTTCCTGTTACAAAACAAACAAAAACAAGCAAACCCCATGTGACTAAAATCATAACTTTTCCATTTTAACAACTTTGAGTTCCAAAAAGCTCCATCTTTCTCAGTAAACAAACAGAAGCTCAAAAAATAGAAAAAGAAGTTTTAACCTTGTAGCTGACTTCCACCCGGTGCATAACATAGAACCCAAGAACCCCACCAAGAATTGTGCCAGTTATGATCCTTACATAACCCCATTTCTGTGAATTCAACGCCATTTTCTTTTCTCTTGCTTTCTCTGTAACCAAACACAGGTCTTCTTGGTCACTGCTTTTGTATTCTCTTTGCGATAAAAGCGCACCGTTTAGGAAAGGTGATGTCAGAGGCTATCGATGTGGAGCAGACGTGGTGGGGGTGGGGTGACGGCGCTGATTTATTTGGCGGTGGTCCGGTGGTGGCAGAAGCGGTGGTCTTAGTGGATGATCTCTGTTTATAGATTAGAAAAGGTTGGAAGGCCTAACATACAATGCGCTCAGAGCCCTTTACAACCAATATGGGCCCATAAGAGGCCCAGAGTGAATAAATTATTTAGGATACAGAGGTGGAAATGCTATTCTCCAATTCAATGGATCTCCTGGATTTACTTATATATAAATTTTATTATTATTTTTATAATATATATGCTTTTTTATAAGATTATATTTATTTATTAAATATAAATTATTTTATTTTTGTATGGCCTATGTATGTTATGAAAATTGATCTTGAAGCAAAAAAAAAAAAAAAAAGTAAACTTCTAATTAAGATTTATAAAGATTGACTTTTTTATAAATGCAAACTGGTATGATGTTTATAAAAGAGTTTTTGTTTTTATAATTTGAATTTTTTTTAAGTATTTTTAAAATTATTTTTTTATCTGAAAAAAACATTAAAATGATTTTTTATATGTTTTTTATTGTCTTGATGTTAAAAAAATAAAAAATATCATTTAAAAAGCATTTTTAATTTAAAATCACTTTTAAAAAACATTTTCTTGTTTTTTAAGTATTTTTAAAATTATTTTTATCTAAAAAAAGCATTAAATTGATTTTTTATATGTTTTTTATTGTCTTGATGTGGAAAAAATAAAAAAATCACTTAAAAAGCATTTTTAATTTAAAATCACTTTTAAAAAACATTTTGAGCTGCATTATCAAGCACACACTGAAGCCTTCGTGAATAAGGAGGTGATAGATGCATCCTTTATTTTTATATTCATATGTAAATAAATAGAGGAAAAATATTCATTTATTCAAACAACTAGTTAAATAACCAATGACTATCATGGTCTAATAAAGGTTCTAGCTGACTAGTTAAACAAGGATTTTACTTAATTGGTCTGAGACCAAAAAAATATATATATATATATATCAAGGATTCCTCTTTACACTAGGATTTTAATTAATATAAAAGATGAGAAAAAATAAGTAAAAAACTAAAAGGTTATAGGATTTTGCAGAGTGCATATGTGCTATGTAAATGCCTTGATTCGGTATGGACTTCAACAATTCTTTTTTTTTTTTTTTTTAAGTTATTGATCTTCCCATTAAAGTTCCATTTCCCCCCCCACAAAATAGCCTTTTAAGGTCAATTGGTAGTCAATTGCATATAATTTGTTAACAAAGGGCAAGATTTAAATACAGAGGATCAAAGTGAGAAACAACAATGAATATGGGTGGTGGTTTCATAATTTATACACAAACTTTTCTTTGGTTCTTTATATTTCTTAAAATATCGGGTTTTGGGTCCTTTTCTTTTTGAAAGTTTCATTCTGATTTGAAAAATTATTTTTTAAATTTTTGATCCAGTAATAAGAGAGGAAGTTACTAGATTTTAATAGTAAATAGAGAAAATCATTATTAACATTGATTTTAATCATAAAAAATATTATAAAAAAAATTATTATTGATGCTAATTTTAATTATGAAAAATATCATTCTTAATAAATGTTAATAAATTCTATTTAATTGGGGAGTTTCACAAAAATATTATTTGACATTTCAATTGCTCAAGACAAAAGATTTGTATTTAAAATGGTTTTTGAATTTGTATTAATTTTAGATTTTTGGATTAATTTTAAAGTTATTTAAGAGAATAAACAAGTTTAACACAGTTTATAAAATATTTTTTAGATGTCCAGGGTCATAATTTAGTTGGGAAACAAATTTTTAAGAACAAAATACCCATGATATAATTTTTCAACAACCTTATGGGCACTGTAAACTGGGTTAGTAAATAACACATCATCTGTTATATTTTCCAGCACATGATGCATTGTTGGCCTTATATATATATATATATTAAAAAGCCAAGGGTCTAAAATCATAGTCTTTTTTTTTGTCTAGCTTGAAAAAAAAACATTAATCTTTATTTTTTTAATCCAACTTACATATAAAAAAAAATTTATCAAGAAAAAATATAATTTGATACAAAAAGTGTTGTGCATCTATCTATACTGTGATCAAATAAAAAATAAATTAAAAGAAAAAATTATTAAACATGGTAGGATGTGTGACTAAAATAATAAATTTAATAGATCAATTCAAATTTATCTAGGTCTTGTTCTTTTTTTTTATTAATTTTTTTATTTTTTATTTTTTCTTTTAATGTTAAGTTGATTGGGATTTAAGTCTTATAATTTTTTTATTTTATTTTCATAAAATTATTATAATTTTATGATCCGGATTATAAATTTGGTTAGTTAACTAGATCTAATCCATATCGATCTAATATATTATTGTTTAAATTTATTATTATTTTAATATTTTAAATATATATAGTTCAATATGCATTATATTTTGAATTAATAATTAAAAATTAATATATTATCATCTTAAAATTTTTTTTCTTTTAAATCGAACAAGTGGATTTAGACACATCAAATCCGTCCTCTCACAATCTCGTTTTAAATTTAGACTGGGCACGAATTTTGCTGGGGAGATTTGAATGATTACTAGCAGAGCTGGGTTTGATGCACATACGAGGTGCTCTTCGACAACGTGTAGACATTTTATTATTCATATATTTTTAAATACACTTGAATTAAAAATTTTAGAAATAAAAAGAATACAATTTGAATCAAATCTCCATGAATAATGTATTATTAATATTATTATTTTCAGATAAGATATATAATAATAATTATAAATTTATTTTGTTAAAATTCAAATAACAATTATAACAGTATTTTTTTATTTATTATTATTATTATTTTTTGCGATTGCTCGTTTCTCTTTCGATGTTACGGTGTCTGCCATAGCAAAATCAGGCAATGTATCTTCCTTACGCAAATGATTCCCTGGTGACGTCAAGATCCTTTTGGTATTATTTATTGATGTTACACTTGCTCAACTCACGACAGGAGCAAGTGCAATAGAGTTTTTTTTTTTTTAAAAATAAAATAAATGTTTAAATTAATTTATATATATTTTAACTAATTTTATGGGCTATAAAATTAATAATTATACAATTTTTAAAAATTTGGAATTTATAAAACTTAAACCAATATTTTTTTAAAATAAATTTAAAATTTAATCAGTTATATTATTTGAAAAAAAAAAAACCTTTTAAAATAAATTTAAAATTTAATTAATTAAGGTATATAGTAAAAAGAAAAACCCTTTTTGACAATGAAGGAGGTGACATTCTTCTTAGTTTTATCCCGAAACTCCATTAATTCTAATGATAAATCTCCATGTTCATAGCTCCACATCATTTTAATTTATTAACATTTACTCAAAAAGAATACATCAATCCTGAGCCTAGCTACATAGGTTTGTGCAGTGTGCATTAATTGTTGAAAAAGCTGAACTTCTGACGGAAATTAGTGATGAAATTAACTCCGTTACTAAATACAAAAAAAAATAGTAATTTAATTTAAAAATATAAAAAAATAATTTTAAGTAAAAAAATAAAATTTATTTTTTTAAAAGTATTTTTTATATGGTATTAGGCTGTCATAATTCAAACCCTTCATTATGAAAAGAGTGAGAGGGTCAAATATTGATACATGAGGCAATATTTGCCTCGAAACAAATTGATGCCCACAGAAACCTACACTAAACTTTCGTTCCCAAGGTCCACAATGATTGATGTTACACTTGCTCAACTCACGACAAGAGCAGGTGTAACTTTTTGGTTGTTTTTTTTGTAATTAATATAAATATTTAAATTATTTTATGTGTACAAAATTGTAAAGTTGATGATTATATAAATTTTTAATAATTTTAAAGATTATAAAATTTAAATTAGTAATTTTTAAAAAATAAATTTAAAATTTAATTAATTAAGGTATATAGTAAAAAGAAAAACCCTTTTTGACAATGAAGGAGGTGACATTCTTCTTAGTTTTATCCCGAAACTCCATTAATTCTAATGATAAATCTCCATGTTCATAGCTCCACATCATTTTAATTTATTAACATTTACTCAAAAAGAATACATCAATCCTGAGCCTAGCTACATAGGTTTGTGCAGTGTGCATTAATTGTTGAAAAAGCTGAACTTCTGACGGAAATTAGTGATGAAATTAACTCCGTTACTAAATACAAAAAAAAATAGTAATTTAATTTAAAAATATAAAAAAATAATTTTAAGTAAAAAAATAAAATTTATTTTTTAAAAAGTATTTTTTATATGGTATTATGCTGTCATAATTCAAGCCCTTCATTATGAAAAGAGTGAGAGGGTCAAATATTGATACATTAGGCAATATTTGCCTCGAAAAAACTTGATGCCCACAGAAACCAACGCTAAACTTTCGTTCCTAAGGTCCACAATTATCGATTCATTATAATGCTCTGTAATTATATTTAAAGAACTTAAAATAAAAACAATTTTAACATGCAAAATAATTTAATTGATCAAATCTTGAATTTATTATCTAATAATTAAGAATTTAAATCAAGTTAACTAAAAAATTATATAATTATTAACTTTAATATTAATGAAATCAGTTCAGATATATGTAAATATGTAAATATTTATATTAATAAATAAATAAATAAAGTATATGTAAATATGTAAATATTTATATTAATTAATTAATAAATAAACAAAGCAATTTTAATGTTCAACAAAGATGAGATATGACCTTGCACATTATCACTTGAATTTATCAGCCACTTGCATTGCTTGTGGAGAAAGAGAGGACCGAGGAGATTAGGATGTTCATGCACAGATGCACTTTGGTACGTGTGATAGATAGAGAAAGAGAGCTGCTCTCGATGCACTTAGGTATGTGTGATCTGCTTTGATGACATTGAATGCGCGTCACCAACTTCGCCTAATATTCTTAAATGATCACTCCCTTATTATGAGCAGCTACACCTCTTCTTCACTGCGTTGCGCAGCAACTTGCAAAGCTTTTTGAGAGAGAGAGAGGATGGAGAAGAGGGACAAAGGAAGTTCTCCCATGGCAATGATGATGGGGTCAAGAGATGAGAATGAAGATGTGGAAAACACCACGCGAACAGCCGAGACTATG